CGCTGCGCGCGCCCGCCGCGGCGCCGCCCCCGACGGCGCCCCCGCGCCGCCGCCGCCGCCGCCGGCGCTGTTGCCGCCGGCAGAGCACCTAGTCTATGCTGGCGAGGACGCGGAGGGGCGGCCGCTGTACTCCCGGCTGGACCCCGACGAATGGACCGAGGTGGAGGCGCCGATCGCCACGTCAGACATCCTATCCGAACTCGACGGCGTCGACGCCGGCGGCGGCGGCGCCGCGGGGGCGCGGGCAGTGGATGGCAATGTGGAGGTGCCGGCGCTGAGGGTGGTGGACGACCCGCGGGAGCTGGAGCTGATAGGGGACGGCCTGCCGATCGTCCATGGGGTGCGCTGAACTAGCAGCTGCCGCGCAGCTGCTGTGCAGCTGCCTGTGGGACGTGGCGGGGGTGGCGGGGCTGCGCGCCTGGCCGGGATTTCCAAAGCGCTGCGGCGACGTGGCGTGCTCGCGAACTCACCAGGCAACTCAGAACACCCAATACGCAGGCCGGCCGCATGTGGAGGCAGCTGATTACCCGCGTCTCGAACCCCGCACGCCTGCGCGCGCCGCGTTCCGCAGGAGGAGTGGCCGCAGGTGTATTGGGACGCCCTGCGCGGCATCCAGCGGGCCGGCGGCTCAGGCGTGGCCGTGCCGCAGCCGCACCCCAAGTTCAGCGTGTCCGACCTGCGGCGCATTTCGGAGGGCGGGCCCCGGTTTTCGGACGTGGTTCTGGAACACGCAGAACTCGTCCACCAGCCGGGTGCGCGGCCGGGTGGGCTGCTGGTGCGGGCGCGGCGGGGGCGCCCTGTTCGGCTGCGCGCCCGGACCCCTCGTGCCCGGAGCTCGCATCGAAGCTGCCGCCGCGGCACCGCATGCTTTCGCCCCTTGTCGCGCGGCGCCTGACCCGCCGCCACGACCGCCGACCTCACAACCCCGCCCGGCCGTGCGCAGCGTCGGATGCGGAAGACGAGCGGCCGCTCGGCGAGGCGTACACATACGTGCCGCAGGCGGTGCTGGGGGACTTCAGGTTCGATCAGGAGCCAGATTGGCTGCGGCTGGAGCAGCGCAGCGCAGAGGGGCTGTGGGCGGGGCTGCAGGAGCGAAACTGGACGAGCGAGAGGTTCAGGTGGGCTGCGCGCGCGTGTGTATGTGTGTGTGATTGTGGGCACGTGTGGTTGTGTCTGGGCACGTGTGTGCGCTTACGTGCTTGCGTGTGCGTGTGTGTGCACGTGTGTGTGCGTATGTGTGTGGGTGTGTGTGTGTGTGTGTGTGCACATGTGGATGTGTCTGGGCACGCACGTGCGCAAGAGTGTGTGTATGTGTATGTGTGCGTGTGCGTGTGTGTGTGTGTGTGTGTGTGTGTGTGTGTGTGTGTGCGCGCGCGCGTGTATGTGTGCGCGCGCGAGAAGCAGCATACGTGCGACGAACTCCCTGCTCCGCCTGCACGCCGCCACGTCCGCCCCATTCAATGCCCCCGCCCCGCCGCCGCCCCGCCGCCCACGTGGCCCAAAACAACCCTGAACCCGCAGCCCCGACGCCCAGCCGTGGCGCGTCCAGTTTTTCCGCTGCGGTTACGGCGGCGCGGTCACCGGCTGGCCGGGCTGGCGCGCCGTAGTCACGCCGCTGCTGCCAGCCGCGGCGGGCGGGGCGCGGGGGGCCGGCCTCAACAGCGGTAGCGGCAGCGGCAGCGGCGGTGGCGCAGAGGATATGGTTGCTGATGAGGCGGGGCGGTTTTGGGTCGACCTTCCTACGCCTGGCGCCGTGTCTTTCCTCCGGGTGAGGCGCGCGGCGGCATTGCGACACAGCTTGAGAAGCCGCGCGAAACCGGCTGCCTGCTGCCGTCGAAGGACGGGGATTGAAGACGGGCGGGGGGCGCGGCTGCTGTGCGTGCGGCGCGGCCTCGTCGCGTGGCTTGGCCCCGGTGGCTGCGGATGTTGCGCGGTGCAAGCGGGACAGGGCCCATTATGGCTGCATTCTGTCAGGCCGTGCCTTTGCCCTGGCACCGCCCATTTGAGCATGAAGGTACACACCTTCTGCACGCGCATGAACGCGCACACACACACGCACACACGCACGCACACACACACATGCGCGTGCGCGCTCTCATAATCTCGCTCTCCCTCCCGCCCATTTCCAAACTCCTGCTCGTTCATACTTTTACGCATGTCGACGCATTCACACACATACACAAATACACACACTCATGCGAACGCACACACCCATATTCATGTGACAGGACTACCTGGCTGCTGGCGCCCGTGGCTCGGATGCGGTTTGGGACGCCGCGCGCTCGGTGGAGCCCGGCGGCGACTCAGCGGCAGTGGGGCGGGTCGGATACAACCAGGCCTTTGAACAGGTGGGCAGAGGGGCGGCAGATTCCTGGGCCGGATGTGCAGCTGCCTCCGTTGGTGGGGCAGTCGGCGGGGCGCTTTGGCCCGTGGGGCAGCTGGGGTGGTGGGGGTCAGGGCTTAGCAGGGTGCGTAATGTATATTGTATGTTGTTGTCCTGCAATTGTGTGTGTGTGAGTGTGTGCCTGCTGGTGTGGTGGTGTGCAAGCGTGTGTGCGCGCGCTTTGATGAAGCACGCAGTACCAGCTGCCCGCACTCTGTCCCTACAGCATTCTTTCCGCTTCCTGACGGTCACTCCTTCATCTTCTCCCTGCCCCCTTGTGTACACACACACACACACACACACACACACACACACACACACACACACACACACACACACACACATGTGCAGGTGTTCCAGGCGTTTGAGCAGCGGCTGCCTGTTGAGGGGGTGCGGGAGCTCTGCGCGCGCGGCGCCGTGGAGCCGGTGAGACGCCAGGGAGAGGGAGTGTGTCTGCATGTAATTTGTGTGTGCGTGTGTGTCTGTGTTGGGCGTGTGTCTATGTGTGCGGCGTGCGGGGGCGCGTGACTGTGTGTGTGTGTGTGGTTCATCGCATGTGCAGTGTGTGTTTGTGGGGGGGGGGACATGTGTGCTTTGCTGCAGGGGCTGGCAAGGCCTGTGGGGTCCTTCTCAGCATGCATGTCTACGTTGGCTTTTGCGTTTGCATGTCGAGGGGCGGGCACTGTAGCGAGTACAGAGCAAACGGTCCGACCGGCTGCCGCTCGCGCGGCTCAAGGGGTGTGCGGAAGAATGTGTGGCCGGGGGAGGGGCAGCTGCCTGAAGCAGGGTGTATTTCTGTGGCGCCGCGATGCACCGTGTGCATGCACGCATGCCTCCCCCTTTTCCCCTGCCCCTCCCACGCTCAACCCATCCATGAAACAAATCACTTGCGCATTTAGGAGCGGCCGCTTGCCACCCTGACACCCCCCGCGCCGCCCTGCCTGACGCCCCCAACATGACCGCCGCCCCCCGCCCCCCGAAACCGCCCCAGGGCAAGTACCCGTACGACTGCCCGGGGGATACCCTCCTTGATGTGTCGTGGCACGAGACCGCAAACGACGTGGGCGGCGCGTGGGGCCGGTTTTTGATGCGGCCAGACTTGAGGACGGTGGTGGAGGTGCGCCGGGCTTTGTGAGGGTTTCCCGCGGTGCTCCGTTCTGCAGGGTCTGGAGTTGTGGGTTTGGGGTTTTGGGGTCGGGGTTTGGGAGCGGCCGTTGAGTTGCGAAAAGCGGGGGGCGGCAAGCAGGGGGGTCCGTCGAGGCGG